CACTGAAACTATGAGATGTACTTGCTGATACTTACCACCAACCTTCAGAAAACTAATGGATCGTCAGAAATTTGAACCCATGTGGCTTAGCACATAAGAACAGACAGCTTAGTCGATTACCATTCCGTAAGAAGTTCAAGTGCAAAGTCCGCTCATGCAGAGGACCATTGGTGACCTGGATAGCTGAATGGTAAGTTCTTTAAGTGATACAGATTTGGAAGTCCTTGGGAATATGATTTCCCTGTAGTGGATATCTCACTGCGGCCATAGTTGAGGTGAGTTGGTAAGTACGAAACAAGTCTTCATTAGCCATCCTGAATTTCTATCAGTTGTATTCACTTGGGCACATGAGACTTCTCAAATGAGTTTAACGAATGCTACTACATTACTTTTTATCACTAATCTCAGAGTCAATACAGAAAGGTCCTGTAGCATTATCTTCTACCATTTGACAGGTGAAAAACCCATTTCGCATAAACTTGGACTTCGGCTCAGAAGTTACTGTACTTTGTCCATGTCTTCTGCAAACTTTAAGCCAACTAGCGAATCAGTTTCTGGAAAGCTAGGAGTAAACGGAACCACCGTAATCACCACTACACTTACAGCAAAGTGAAATAGGGAAAACTAGAGCGGATATTCCTTACCCATACCACTGGTTTTCTCGAATCCAGTAGTTTGGAGCTCCACTCAGGCGTGGGATGATGCAGACGTATTCACTCTTTGAAGACTTCGAAAGTTTAAGCATTTTTCCCTAACCATTTATTTTTCTCTTTTTCTATATACTTGTTCTTTGCATGCCGCTGTGACGTGTGGCAACTTGAACCGTCGCGCATTTGTGCCAGGCACGATATGAATCAAGTTCGTTTTCTTGTGGCCATTACAGGAAAATTCCTCTTCCCTATAAACTAGAATGCTCCAAGATTGAGGTCGATTTGATAATGCTTATTGTGATTCCATAAACTAGCTGGTAATTCAGTTATTGTAATTACCCTAACCACGGACAAATTGCTTAATAAATCGTGCCAAGAAATATTGGTTATGCTAATGTTCGACAAAATTCAAGATGAAATACAGTTTAGTTTGTAGTTGGAATAACGAAAACAAACCTTGGTTAACTATAAGCCAGGAGAATTAGGCTTACTGTTATAGATATCTTTAGTGATTAACTTCCACTCACTGAAGCCTTATTCAGTAATTACTAGCTGTCAGTGGCACAAAGGAAATGGTGGGTCAACAAACTATCGCACAGTTAATTGGATAAAAAAATGATTGATAGAATTCGATCAGCCCATAGGACTAGACTAAACGAAGTTGGCCGCCTCCCAGTAACCAGTCAAAGTACTTAACCCCGTCCTGCAAGAGATCAATAGCGGCCCAAATAGTTCAGTGGTAACGTCTCTGACTGCAACACTGGGAGACGCGGACTCGAGTTTCAGGAGGGACATCAGTTCAATAGAGGTTGCAGATACTGACGATCGTAAATAAACGCGAAACCTAAGTCTAGGGCTTCCAGACGATCGCCTCCATCCAACTAATTGGATGCTTAGTTGACGTTCATTTTGACAATATTATATGAATTTGTAAATAAAACACATGTTAGTGTCAGGACAATGTTCAGAAAGTAGATGTCAGTTAAACAAATTTGGCAAATTACAGTCGCTGTTTGATAAGTTTCTCATGTTTACCTCGATTAATTATTACTTAAACGAACACTAAATATCTTAAATATAAAATAGTTAAGTGAAGCCCATATACTGAAAATAATGTATAAATCCTTTGATTTATGCATACCATGAACTTTTCAGTAGGCAGATATAAAACAAATACTAAGGATCTTAGTTTATAGACTAAAGTGTTCTACTCGTATTTGACAGATTGAAAGCTCTAAACCTGATTGCGAATAAAGTAAAAAAGAAACGATGACAACTACAACAACGATGCGCAATAAAGTCAGTGTATTTTACAAGCTTTTTGTTCCTGCTTTAAAAAGGTACACACCAAAGAAAAAACAGTATAAGAGTAAAACTTGAACACTGTGGTAGAATATAATTCCATTTCAGTTGATTTATTAGACTTAACACACAGTGGGACAGTACTGTTGACTGGATTACGTTTCAGACATAATTTATTGTCGATAGTCATATCAAGATAACTACACAACTTTGAAATATCCTCTATATAGTCCTAGTTTCCTCGTCTCTTTGTGGGACGGGCAGTAAGATTTTCCATATATCCGGAACAGGCACTGAGTCATTCCTGCGGCTGCATGTATTAGGTGTTGATTCGATAAACAAAGAGTCAGTTATCAATCTCTCCCTCCACCCTGTTTTGTTAGTTCTAAGAATTTTCACCCTATCCCATCCTATTGTGTGGTTGTGTGTAATCTCATGCACAGTTATGGCTGAGCTTTTTTCTAAATTCCTTACCTTACTAGAATTTACCAATTTTGACCTGGCTAAGTTTTTGTGTTCCGATAGCCTAATTGATCCTGGTCGACTACTTTGACGTATGTATTTGACCTCACAATCGTTACAAGGGATTTGGTAAACTTGGTTATTCTCCTTAATTGGGTTAATAGGATCTTTTAACCTACAAAGCCTATTTCTAAATGAGTTTGTAGGTTTAAATACCACTATAATCCCAGCCTTATTGAGAATTCTACGTAGTGTTCCTGAGGTGCCTTCTTTGTATGGTAATACTGTGGAGGTTTTGAATTCTCTATTCACAGTGTTGCCGCTACTATTATTGACATCATTATCAACATCATTATTGCTATTATTGTTGTTGTTATTACTACTATTAATAACCGTGTTACTGATGTTTTTAACACAGTTATTAATAGTAACCTAGTAGTAAATACGGTAAAAGTTCAAAGCCATATTACTGAATATTTTAATTCAACAGGTATTAATGAATCGAGGAGTTTATGCTGACAAGCTAATATGCTTTACACAGAAATGCCAAAGATGACTGTTGTGTATTTGTCTGAGCACTGTCGATTCCCTACCAGTTTTTCAAATGTTCCAATGAGCACCTTTCACCAAGATGCTTGAATCTACAAACTAAAGCTGTCTTATATGAGTATTGTTATCCATTTAAAACCTAATTCGACCAACATAAATAAACATTATATGAGAAACATTAGGAAGGGATTTGTTTTTATCATCAGCAGCATGAACGTGGATACTATTGTCACTTATATCATTATTACTAGTTATTATTGGTCCCTCATGGAATACTAAGAACGTAAGTACATATATAAATTGAATGAAAAATAGGTGCCCAACATTGAAATTAACGTCCCACATGCAAACAGATAACAGTAGGCATGAAATGAACATTAAATAACTGAACTATTTCTATCGATGATGGGTCAAGAACAAAAGTTTTATGAGTTTATATATATATATATATATATATATATATATATATATATATATATATATATATATATATATATAGTGGTAATAGTAATAAAGAATGGGCCCATTTCAAGATGGAATATAATTTTTGATTACTGAGAACTAAAATATGCACTAAAAAGTATTATTACAAATAAAAATAAAGAGAGGAGTATGGAGTTAGTAAGAAAAATAGTGCATACCGTGTAACCTTTCTAAAAATCGATGACAAACATCATGCTTGCGATTCCACTGGATTGTATTTCTAACAAAATGCAATGTTTTTAAACTACATTATCTCCGATAGCTTCGACTGAAAATTTCTAGTATTGTGCAGGAATGATGGTTGTTTAAAAATGAAACCATGATAGTGGTCAGATTTGAATGATCGTCGTTCAGATTACTAATCGACATAAGGAATATAAAAGAGGCACCTCATGACCAGAAATTAATTGTTTCTGACGAGGTCTGGAGGTGGTTTCCTCATAAAGCCGATAGTAACTGAGCAACAGCTTAAAATTGGAGTGCTGGAAATATGCTGTTTTAGAATTTTATTTTACGGTATTCAGACAATTTTAGGGTTGTGACTCATTGGCTTAACTACCAAACTTTAAGCCAGGAGGTATGAACGTGAACCCAACTTTCTCTAACAAAGTTTAGGCAGCCAAATAGCCCAGTCGGACTCCTCATATTAGATATGGCTGAGTACTAAATGCATAAACCTGTTCGCGGTGGCTGAGTTACGTTTTCATTTATTTATTATGCACTCAGAAAGGAGATGGTTTTAGTTGATAACAAGTAACTTGTTTGAAGAGGTCTTCAAGTGGTCAGGTTAAAAAGTTATGTTTGATACCTATTAGATGCTATCAGGGTTTTGAGATTCAATTGTGAACGTTTCATCAGTACTTCATCAAGCGGTCTAAAGCTCAAGCAATGCCGAACAACTATCATTCAGAACTTGAGCTAAAAATATTCTCCATTATTTACCGTGGTGTTTTTTATTCAGTGATTTTTGATGCAAGTTACGACATGCATTCATAGATATTATCACTGGAGAGAAAACATTTATATACTGATACTAGGTGAAATTTGGGCGGTGGCAGGATTCGAACCAGAGAACACCGAATCTTGTCGCAGCTCAAACTTTCATTTCATCTTCAATCAACACCTAGTATCAATACAAGTCTGCCAAACCATGGCTATCTCACTCAGACACCCAAAATGGTGATATTTATATATAACAAATATACTATGTATCACCGACTACTTAAACGGTTCCACGTTTTTGCTAACATGTGAAACGCATAATTCACCCCCAACAACTGCGCACAGGTTGCCTAATCAACCTATAAAAATTGAGTGTAGCTAGACACCTACAGCTAAAAAGATAGAGGTAGACAATCGAATTGGATGCATGATGCAATGGTTAAAACAGGAAACAAATTTTTTTAAAATGACAGTAAGACTTATAATACCCTAACTTTTCTACTGCTAAAGAGGTTGTATTTGCATTGATACAAATGTTACGCATTTCAAAAAACTAAGTATATACCAGATACAAGCAAAAACAAATGGATATCACTCATACTCAATTCTTACCTATCATCTTCTTTTCCTTGACTAGCATGAAAACTTGGAGAGGTAATAATAGTTTGAAGGCTTTTATAATTTCCTTGGTTTGACAATGTACCAAAACGATGCTTGGAAAATCTGTTTTTACTACTATGATTGTTATTTTTATTATTTTCCTTTGTTGGTGAGGTGGTTTCTGTTTCTATCGGTTCGTTATAAGTAATTCGCTGTCGCTGGACAAGTACCATAGGACTCGCACAAAGCCGTTGCCAAGCTTCACAACGAAAGGAGTCAGGAATACCTTTGCGACATCGATCACGCAATTTTTGATGATATTTGAAATACCATAAACTCCAATTAGAACACATTTTACGCCATTTCAATTCACGTGAACGTATAACCTCGAGAGGAACACGATCTTCTCTTAATGGGAATAACCAAAATAAATATAGTACAGTTGAAATACTTTCCACAAGGTTTTTAGACAATATATTTGCAAGAAACAAACACTGTCAGTCATTCAATATGATGTTGGAATTCATATAGTTTAAAAGATAAGCTGTCAGGGAAATCCTTGCCAAAACTTTATTGCTTTGGTTATAGCAAAATATTGAGGTTAAAAATCACGTTTCTAGACAGACCAAGAAAAATTTGACCAAGCACAAAGTTTCATTAGAGCTTTTAGTTAATGAAGTGAACCATATACTGGACATGTACAAAACACTAGCCCCGTTACATAATTGACTGCAGCATAAGGTAGTGTGCATAAATGATTTTAGTTTCTAACTTGTACATGCAGAAATCAAAAATCTTTGGAACACTAAAGTGGATACCACGAAATATAATTACATAGAAGTCTATTTAATCTCAGCATGTTCCTGTTCCTTTTCTGAAGTCATACCAATGATTATCACATTTCTAACTCCTCTTTAGTGTTGTCATTTAAGAGAACTTTCCTAGAAAACAATGTGATTAAGCAAAGATTTAGTTAACGGTCAGTGAGTCCCTTACAGTGACTTTGCTATCAAACGATCAAACAATATAAACCAACCTTCCTTTTAAGATGATAGAAGATATTAACTACTACAGTGTGGACAACCGTTGAAGAAACAACTACCAGTAAGTCTGCAGGCAAAACCCACCTTGTCATCGTCACCTTTTCTTTTCTACTCATTATCTCTTTTCCTTATTATCATTAGTGCTCTTACAATTTCCTCAACTCCTTACTCGAAGATTATGTCTAACTATTCTAAACAGTGGATAAGTACCACTAGTTTCTTAAATTCATCTTGCCAATTACTCGTCAGAGCATTCAGCCTTGACGTAAGTCATGCTGGAAAATGGGCCTTAATAGCCGAAGTTCTGGCATTCACAGATATGGATGTGTTATGTTTTCTTCCCGTACGATATGCATAAAAGATTCAAGTGTAATTAATTACTTAACCTCCCCTGATTGATACGATGAATTAGCAAAATTGGCCCTGTGGGTGTCAGAACAGATGGGATCGTAAATGTAAGGATAGCACCACGGTTTGCAATGGAAATTCCATCTTTTGATTAGATCTCAAGTAACAGTAACAGTTGCTTGTTGAGTGGATGTGTGAACTTAGAAGCATGGGAACAACAAGAGGATGACAAAAAAATAATAAAGTAAACAAGGTTGTGTGAAAGAATAAACAATTTGAAGATAACGGTTGATACAAAACTTCTAGCTTTAGAAGATGTCAAAGAATGAATACGTTTGAGTCACTATGACCGATTTCAAGCCATGCCATCAAGTCTTTAACCACTGATTCGTTTCGTCTCAAAGACCCCGGCCAGGTAGTCAACATCTCCGCACACGGCTTCGACCAAACGTTAGACACTTTATTGATTGGTGCCACGTATAGTTTAGCCATCGTGAACCCACTTCCAATTTAGTCAAACATCCCTAGCATAGCGTGTTGAAATAGACGGTGGCTCGGCATGCACCATACATGTCAAAGTCATCTCAGTCGACTAAGGTTCACAACCTTATTAATCGACTTGCCTTCCTTACCTAGTACCCTTCACCTGACTTCACACGGTGATTCCACCAAGCGCAAACAATGTTACAAAGAGACCTGTGCTTAAACACTCCTAACCCCTTCATGTCTCATACTTTTAAAGGCCGTGTCTCACAGCCGTATACTAGCAACTTCAACGCTCAAATGTAGAAGCTGAGTGCATGGGACAGGTATATTCGAAATGCATCCATAGAATCCTATGCCGATGAACTAACACTGGTAGTCACTTCTCCCAATTCTGTTACTATTGTCAGTTTTTTATTATGCAGCACGAACTACAAAAGTAAACGTGTATTTCTGGCCTAGTCACTACTGAGGTCAAGCCAACGGAAAACAAAGATATGTTGAAATAAAACCTTGTTTGAGAGGATCGGTGGGAAGTTGTGACATTTTTGGATTACCCGCTGGGACTCTAATCATATATTAGTCCTAATACGCATGTATTCCCTTCTGAGTTAACAAGAAGAACCAGGAGTTATGAACCCTGTTTTTACCCAGCTAAAAACAGCTAGATATCTTACGTGTAAATTGACAAGGGGTAATCGAGTATTTGCATCCCTACTGAGATCTCATTGGACACTTGTCCATCAGGCCTGATTAGATTCCAAAGTAAGTGAAGTGGTCAACGTGCTCAATCACTTTTATAACTCATTGTTAGCCAAAGCATTAATGTAGACCAGTTCTGGAGCAACAATTTGCACTTGGGTGATGAGAAATGAATCTCAAAAAGGGTCAAATTGTCACTCAGTAGGTTCAGAAGACTCTGTCACCAGTCGAACGTGGAAGTACATTATTATCTGCATACTCAAAATATACTAAAGGGTCTCCTGTGGAGGGATTAATCCCTGTAGAAGGTAGAGAGAAAGCATTTTGTGATAAACACAGAGGAATTACTCCACCTTAAGTGTGTTTACTTGAATCACACTCGGATTTTGAGCCTGATTTGAAATTAGGCTCTAAGACAGTACTCATAGTTTACTCATCCATTGGGAAATCAGTGTTTAGTAGTTTTTGAGATTTTAGGGTTCATATTCATTCTGCGCTTAACAGTAGCTTTAAAACAACAAACTAGAAGAAACCAGGTAGGTTTGAGACCTGAGTGGGAATATGGTGATCAAATCTTCGTTCCTCGACAGGTTCTGAAATGTAGTGATACTGGTATTTCATTTGGTAGATCGATAGGTGTTTTACCAGTGTTTGATTGTGATGGGAGTATTCAACAAGTATATTAGGATATTCAAGACTCTCCACTTCAACTCATGCTAACTTTTTGGAGCTTACAGAGAGTTGTCATCTGACGTGATGACAACTGGTGGTGTGGGCGAAATATGTTTAGTCTCATCTTCCCTATTTCACCTTGTGGTAGGTGTAATGGTGGTTTTGGTAGTTCTGCTTACTTATACTTCTTATATGCTTTAAACATTTTCTGGTTTCATTTCTGTTTCCCCCTGACTTAGATATTACCTGGTAAGAGGAAATTGTTCTCCCAGTATTTTTCAAGGGCGCTTTCCTGGGACCGGGTTTTTAATGGTTGTTTCATAGTGTTGACCGTCATTTCGAGCGTGTCGACTGATTGCTTAATAAGTTGAATGTTTAGATAAAGTAACTCTGTCACTCTTCTGGAAAAAGATTGTTCACAAGTCTCTGCACTACTTCTAGGTCTCATTGTGAAGCACGATTAACAGCTGCTACCTTGACGTGGTGGTGGGGTTCGCATATCCCTATCACCTAACGAGCTGCTCTGATGGAACATCTGACCCTTAAAGTCCTACCAAATCAGGAAGATCTGGTGGATAAGGGTAAGAAAAAAGCAGTTACCTTCATAGTGTAAACTGATAAGCCATGAAGGCGATTTGTGGGAGAAGTCATACTGCTGGCTAGACAGGGGTGACACCAGGAAAGTGTTTCCCTTAGATAACCAACAATGCCATTCTGATGCTGCCTCCCCTATGAGAAGGTGGAGGGATTAGGAAAGGCAGATCATAAAAATAGCATGCTCGTCTCTATCTTGCAACACACCATGTGTGTTCAGAGTCGGATTTACATAAAACAAACAAAACTACCATACTTCGAAAAAAGCTTCAAGCAGATATTTCTGCGGATCTACCGTCACGCACTAACCCTTTTTTTAAGGTACCTCAAAAAGAACTAACCTTACACGGTGTGGGCAACCGGAAAACGTCAACAGACCTCACAACTCTGTCAGAGCTCAAGTTTCCTCACATTACTGTTCATCTTACACAACCTTAACTATTAATCTTCCATCACATATCTTGATAAACATTCTTGCAACAACTTTGATTCCTTCCAGCTCTGCAGCTCTAGATAACTCTTTGACTTTACCGAACAGCGTACCTGGTCTCTAGATATCGCGTTCAAAACTACATATTGCAGCTTTTAATGTCCCCCACCCCCGTCAAATCCACCAACAAGCTTCGCTAGTCAAAACCTTAGAATCTCAAGACATCAACGTATTCTGTGTTTGCGAGAAACGCCTACAGGACGCAAGTGCAGCTGTTCAGTTAAACTCCACTGAGCCCAATAGGGTGAATTCGAGAAATTCACTCTTCGAGTTTCCGGACATTCAATGATGAGTTCTCGCGGTTTTATACGTATATATACAGTAATGAGTCCTATGATAGAAAGTGCACTACTCGACTCGATCCCAGTTGTCAGTCCTCTGTGCGCTCTTCCACTCAACGGCATAGTAATGACAGAAAAAAATAGTGAAACTCGCCATTGTCTCTTTTTGATCTCTGCCTACGCATCCACCAACTGAAGTTTGGATAAATTCCACCGAGAACTGTCTAGCCCCCCACTGAAAGCCAGATGCTCAGAATTGGAAGTTATTGCAGGTGATTTCAATGCACAAGTAGGTAAGGTAAGTCAGCCAGGAAGGTGTTTAGCTGATACTTTCGAAATCCCAGTCGAACAGACAGATAACCATAGCCGCCTACTACAGCTGTACTAAGATAAGCGTTAATTTCTAGCCAGCATAAACTTCACACATAAAGAGAAAGGTTGTTTAGAGTATCGTCCGCCGAACTCAACTCAAAGGTAGACATAGATAGACCATATTGCTACCAGTTATCCCTGGGGAGAGTTGGTGGGAGATTGCTAGTCCTTCTGAAGCACATGTTTAGGCACGTATTACGCGTGTCTGTGTCTAAATGGGAGCAAGAAAACTACAGCAGCAAAGCCATTCCGAGTGCACCTCAATGATGCAAAATACCTAGGTTGGTTTCAGCCAGGAAGTGCCTAGATAGTTATCGGTACAGAAAAAAATCATTAATGCAAAAGAAACCTAACACTAGTCTGCTATTAAAAAAGCGTTGAAGACCTAACTGACTCACAGAAAGAGTTTAGAAAATGTAAATGGACATAAGCAGTTTATTGTGAATTATTGGATGCATGCCAACGCATCCCTGCAGGCTCCAAGCACAATAAGTGGAAGGAACTCAAATGTAGACTGCCAATAGTCTATGCAATAACTGCAGATAGCGGTGGACAGCAAAGGGTGAAGAGATGGAAAGGACGGCGGCGACAGTAATTTTCGTTGTATAGTAAACTTGGGTAAAAAAAGGTCAACGGTTGGTAAAGGAAGATACATCTGTGACCTACTTGCGGGACAGACGACTGGAACGATGGCAGGAGCATTTTAAGGGACAGTTCAACTGGCCTTCAGTTGCTATTCTGTTGCTTGCGATCCAGTAAGATCTGGAATGAGACATTGAGACAGTTAAAGCTGTACGTAATCTAGAACGAAGAGCATCCGGACTGGACGAACTGGCACCGGAAATATTTAAAGGCCGCGGATTATCGGTCGGATTAATTGAGGTATTAGTTACTGTATGGGAGTTGGGTATGCTCCCTTCTGGTCGGTCTCAATCACTGTTTGTTCAAGTCTTCAAGAAAGGTAAGAAGTCCCCTTATGATAACCACAGGAAAATCAGCATGACGGAGTCTTTGATTCTAGGCTCCATTATCCCCAGACGTTCGAGTGGAGCTCAAAAACAGCAAGCCTAAAGAAAACAGGTAGGTTTCAAACAAGGCAAATGATGCATCAATCATATATTTACACTCCTCCAGGTCCTGAATCCTAGGCCTATTTACGGACACAGAGTGTATTTTTTGAGCTAAAGGCGGTATTCGACTGCGTCAATATAGAGGTCTCGTGGCAATGTCTCTCACTGAAAAGGGTGTTGAGTATATACATCACTCTTGAAGATTATACTTTAACACCAGCAGACGTGCTAGAGCCTATGGTGAATTGTCAGGTGGATTGTCTACGTCAAATGGTCTTCGTCAGAGACATCTACTCTCGCCATTCTTATCCAGCTTTATCATAGACGTACATGTATGGGTCTACCTCTTGTCGTCTGACTTCAAACTGATTGATCTTATCACAGATGACTTCTCAGTAGATCCAGAGTAAGCAGATGACATAGTCCTGTTACATGGAGACACTGACAAGATGCAGTCTTCTGGGCACGCTGAGTGCCAATTTGAGAACATATAGCATGTTTTTCGTCACCCAAACGTAAATTGTTGCTTCACAACTGGACTTCGGTGTGGAATTATTGTTCAGTGGTTTAGGGAGATAACTATCAACCATTGAGTTTGAGCCCTGTTTTACCTACCGAGGTACGGGGAGCCAAGTAGTATCACTGGTCCTCACACAATAGGGACAGTTCACTGCCTACTGCACGATGTGCACAAGGTGGCTGAGTCCGTTTAGTTTGTTCTTTAGTGTGGTCCTGTCTAACAATAGGGAGGGAAATGGTTGAGTGCATTGACCACTTCACTTGCCTGGAAGTCGGATCAGTCCTGGTGGGTCTGGTCAGTGACCGATAAATCTCTGGACAGATACAAAAGGTCCGATCGGCTTTTGTCAACTAACATCATGTCTCCGGCGTGATATCCGATTGCCTGTTAAGAGTTGAGTGTACAGTGCTGCAGTTCGCTCTGTTCTAAAAGACGGCCATGATATATTCCCGTTTAAGGTAGGGGACATGAGGTAGCTTCATGGATTTGACCACCGTCGCCTTAGTAGCATAGACTCTGTCATAGTATAGTCATCAGTAATGCAAAAGTCAGGTGCACAGTTATACGGTGAGGTTTTGAATCTTCATCGACTCAGGTGGCTTGGACATGTGTTACGTATAACTAGTCACCGCCCACCCGTTCTGTAACGTTCGCTGAAGTACGCTAAGAGCGGAGATGGGTTAAAGGAGGTCAGACTAAAATATGGCACCAGTCTCTGAAGAGGTTGATTGCTGGTCTGAGCCATGTAAGGGATGTAAACTTTCTGCTTGGTGTCCGCATGACAACAAAAGTCAGTGGTTGAGGATTATAGATAACATGACTCAGAATCCACTTCAATGGTGCACATGCATCTACACATTATCTTCATTTTGACAGTCAAACTGAATTTCAGTTTTTTTACTCTTCTCTGCCCTTTTGCCAGGACTTTCTCCCACTTTTGGCTGCTTTCTTTAACTTTCAGCTTAGTGCTTCTTCGCTTGATGTATTGACATGACGTGTGGCAACCTGGGCTGTTATGCAATAATGCCAGGTCCTTGGTCGAAGCCACAGGAAATGGCTCTCTAAGATCAACACTTGTTTATTCTGAACATCCGAGAAGTATCTCAGACCTAACAATATATTATCGAAATGAAGAACTGCAGGCAAGTTTAAACTATATCACTGATAGTTTAGTCGTTAATATCTCAAACTTAACATTTAATTATCCCGTGAGTAAGGGCAGATTAAATATACAAGGAAAAGAGCAAGAAGAATGGTAGACAGTAGAAGCAAGCAATATGAGTGTATTGACTGGATAGCTAATAACACAACAACTCAGCCTTTCAATATAGTACAGGTTTGTGTACTGGGTTGTCAGTCATACTAAATATGAGAGCCTATGGTACCACCAAGTTGTCTATGTCGATATAAGTGGAGTGGGGTATGAACTTGAAACTAGTCTTCCACTGAACTCATGAAAAGGTGAGGAAACGTACAAGTGATAAGCCAACATATGCATATAAGATGATAGCCAAGGAATAGACAAATCAGGGTGTTAATAGTGGTGTTACTATTGTTTCTTCTAACAGCTCATAGTCGATGACCATCCCATTTTGTAAAGTAGAACTGTATGACACCTCAAGGAAGTACCTTGAATAAGATTCTACAATCCTAAGATCCATAATTACCCCATCCATAAACCAGGCTTGAGACACAAAATTGATTTGATGGGAAGTTTGTCAACCAGATACTGAAACACATAGAACTTAGAGCAGCCGTTCAGTCGTAGTTGATATACCTGGTGATAGCACAAGAAAAGTGAGTGAAATCAAACACATCAGTGTATTTGACCAGGAACATTTAGACAGAAATAAACGAATAGTTTAGACTGTATTCCACTGAGCATATTAAAAAGAATATGCAAGTAAAATATGATCATTAAGAAAATTCTAGTGAACATACTCTTCTGGCCTTGTGTACTGCTGACCACCACGAAAACCGTATCTATCATACTGCAGTATGTCGTCCACAGGTTGGGGTGAAGCATCATTATCTTCTTTTATATCGCCATCCATATCCAGTCAACTAACATAGTTTCCACCAAGATCGAAAAACGCGCCCTTAGAAAATCTTGATTGAAATATCTTTATTTCGATTCACTGTTTGAGATTAAAATAAGAAATAGTTGATGATTTTCAAAATCAGAGTTTAAATTATCGATTTGGTTTTAAGTTGTCAAGGTCATGTGCACAATATGAGCTTTCTGCTTGACTCTTGTGCGTTGTTATTCTCTCAGATTGCTTTCTTCGTGGGAGGATGGATTTTCTTCCTGCGTCAGCTCTTTCGTGATTATGAAGTTAAGGACACGGTGGTGGTGCTTATTTTCTCCCTTACGTTTTCGTTGTCGTGCACAGTTTTCGAACTTGTTATATTTGAAATCTTAGATGTACTAGAAGCATCTTCAAGACGCATACACTGGCAGTTTATTCTCTTTACATCACTTCTGGATGTTATAGTCGTTATTCCTTTTTATATATCATTCCATATCAGTAAGAGCCTTCGATTCATACCACCTAGAAGTACTTTCCGTCTTTGTTTTTCTCTGGGATTCATGACTGCCTATTTATACATCTTTTGGAGAGTAGGCACATCTTTCCCTATTCTTAGTGGCAAGCATGGTATTGTATTCTTAGAGCAGTGTATTGGCAGAATAGGAGTGATTGGAGTTACCATAATGGCTTTACTATCCGGTTTTGGTGCTGTTAACTATCCATATTCTTGCATGACCTATTTCGCCCTGTCAGTTTCCAACTCAGAAATACGTACAGCTGAGAAAAGATTACTACAGACGGTTGATATGATCTTGGTCAAGCGTCGAAGATTAGCTCAATCTCAATTCGAAGCTCGAATGAAGGTAAGATGAATTTTGTGTTGTGGATATACCTCTTCACACAAATTGTATCATTTCTTCCCATCTTATGTCTCACTGACCTGAGGTGCTTCATGTTACCCCTATTTGAAACAAATTTAGTTTGGTTTTGTTTTCTTACAAAATGCTGACTCAAAATTTTTTCAATGATGAGTTCTACATCTAAGTCTCCTACAGTTTTCAGAAATTTTGGTGTCGTTCCCTATAGTAATCTTATGAGTTCTGAGTACTTCTTAGATTCAAATTTGCTTTAAAGGTGTCCACAGGAGGTGTAGAAACAAAGCGAAGAATCCTACCGGTTTATGGTTTGGTGCAAAAAACAGATTTTTAGGTAAAAGGCTCAAGCTTGGTTTTTTAATGTCTCAGTGACATATTTCCAGTTGATCGCTTCTAAAAAAGACAAGAAGGTAGAATAACGGAATTCACTTTGTGGTATGATAATATTAGATCATTTCTCAACCAATATAATGCTAGAAACAGGTTGTCAGTCGAGTCTCTGGTAGTAAACGTGGCTGTGGAAGCCGTTAATCATCTTGGTATGTACTCGAACTCTTTCTGTTGCGTTTTTAGGACACGACCTTGCTGATCGGGTCCCATGTTCCATATACGTCTGATATGATGTTTGAAACATCCCCATCAAAAGACTGAATAGTCTCACGAACGGACCATATTACTCGAAAGGTTTTTGTAATTGATGCTTTTCAGTTTACTGAGGATTTAAGGCTATGGATTGCAATTAATCCCTTATCCTTCTCATCAACAAATCTTAATACTAGCATATTTAACTTAATCGCGGGGCACCATAACCGATAAGCATGATTACACTCAAAAGTAAATTAAGGAAGAGTCGTCGTAGTGACCGCGAGCAATGGTTGTTGGTGAAAGCCATGAAGACAAAAAAGACATCAGCACTAATAAAAACTCAGCAGTTACTTAAGCTTAAGAATGGTTCCGGCGGAACGACTGAAAATGAATTCTCACGTAAATCAACTGTCACGAAGTCCGTCTAAGAATTATCTTATTTTTCTGGATTCCTTAACAATCACTACCACTTTCACTTTATTTGCATACTTTATAAAAAAAACGAAATGATCATATGTTTCCTTCGGCTAAATTGAAGATCAACAAATTGACTACACCCGGGACTCATTAGTTGACGTTTTATAAGAATATTTTCGGATTACTAGGCTTATAACACTTGAATGAATTGATTTTACATTTCGTGATAATTAGTAATATGATTGTTAGTTCTAGTTAATGTAAACCGGTTAAATACACATCCCGAATAATGTTGTCGGCTTGTTCTCACAGCACAGGAAACGGTATGAAGATCTATTTAACTTCAAAATCAGGCTGGAAGGTTTTGGGCGGCCATACTAAAACATGGCATCACTGTATTAAATCTTTTGTTGTAGATTTAAGCCGCGCAGGGAGATGCAGACTAACCCGTTGGGGGTCTGCGTGCAACCGAAGCCATTGATTAGAAGCTGGATTATGTAGCTCAGAATCGATGTCAGTGGTGCAGATGTATCCACACCTAATCTTCATCTGAACTGCCATACTAGATTCAGCATCTCTTTCTCTGTTTCTTACTACTAGTACTCGATTTGTTAACTTCTTCATTTTTCATCTTATTACTTTGTTGCTTGCGCTTTTATAAGGTGTGGCAACTTGGACTGTTGCGAAGTAATGCCTGGTCCTTTGTTGATATTTATTGATTATGATTGAAATCAGGTTACAGCTTATACACTTACAGTAACTTGTAAGTTTTGTTTTGTTAATGGTTGTTATTACTGAGACAGTACTTATCTACTTGTATCAATATTGTATTTTATTTCAGTCTGTTTATTGAATTTGGCACTATTTCTTTCCCGGTGTTTCACATATAGAGTAGACCTGATAGTTGTTTAATGACTTTCTGTCTTCGCACTTCTATATAAACTATGAAATATTTCTCGTGTGTTTTACAGCAAACGTCCAGTGAAAAGTCTAACACCTTTTGGAACATGCTGCGTACAGTGGGAATGTCCATTTCAACTCCTCGTGTTGACGAAAAATTATTAAAACATGAGGTTAGTAAGCATGTTCATTTATTCGTATTTCTATTCGATATTTTTATGAATAATTCAGTTTATTGATTAGTGGTAAACCTTAGATATTCGTTTCTCTATTCTTCTCTTAGTTGTTGTAAATTGCTTGAAATATCTTTTGGATATGAAGGTGGAACAATAGTCTTCTATCCCCAAAAGTTTAAGACAGAAATCAAGCATGTTTCATCGTAAGGAATTACTAGTGCCTAACTTTCCTGGACAGTAATCTTTTATTTATTAGTCCGAAGCTGCTCCTAGCAGTTTGGTCATATCGCATGTAACGAAGCTGTGCCTTGGCGGCTTAGGGAGACGATTATCAATCATTGGGTCATGGGTTCGAAACTCGCTCTATCTGCCGAGGTTCTGGCAACCAGGTATTATCATCATCCCTCACACAACAGATGTGACTCATTGCCTGGTGTGCGAATGTGCACAATATTGCTGAGCGCGCTTCATGTACCAGCTAGAACGTTGGGTGGAACACTGACGGAGTTCAACTGAAATAGTGGAGAATATTTGTAGCTCAGGTGGATGGTCTTGGTTGTATTATGTTCTCTGGGCTTGATTGTTTGATCGTGAAACTTGCTACTAAATCTTTCACGGAGAGATACTGACAACCCATTTTATACAGAAGTTAGTACTGATGATTTCTAGGAAGACGATGAAAGCTTCATGATTAAACAACCCAGCTCGGAGTTCAACTGGTCCTCACCAACGCTCCCGTTGTCCAGTATCCAGCCTGAACTTGAGTGGGATATATATTTCGGTCATATAACTATCCTCGAAGTTAAGAAGGCTGTCTCAAACCTGAAACGATGCAAAGCACCGGGACCTGACCGTTTTCCACACGATGTTTTCAACAATGGAAGTTGGAAATTACTGAATAGAGTAGTGGAGATACTAGATAGTGCATGAGAAACATAGTAAGTCCCATCAGACTGGTCTATTTCACATATTCCATTGTATAAGAAGGAGGGGAAGTCTTGTTTTGAAAATCATAGGGGAATCAGTCTAAATAACACCGTGTCCAACATCCTTGGGTCCACATCTATTACGACGTTTAACTGGAATTTGAGGACGGTAAACTCCAGAAAGCCAGGCAAGCTTCAGACTCGAATTAGGGGGCATCAATCAGATTTTCACCCTTCGACGGGTTCTGGCTTAAGCGTATATGTCGGCGACCATATTTCTTGATCGGAAGGTGGCATTCGACTGTCAATCATAAGGTGTTGTACCAGTTTCTGACTGAATGGAGTATTGAGGAAGTATGTAGCGCTAGTCAAAAGTCTCTGATCGGACTCTCAGCCACTTAAGGGCTTATGGAAAGTTGTCATGTAGATTGACGGCAACTAGTGCTATTTGTCATGGATAACCTCTGTCACCATTCCTACTCAGCCTCATTATGGACGTACTAATGGACCTAACCTTAGATTCATCTGACTTCAAAGGGATTGACCTACTCCCTGGAGGTCATCTGGTTGACCTGTAGAATGCAAACGACACTGTCCTAATAGGTGAAGACGCTAACAAAAAGCAGGTAGGGTCTTGTAAAGTGGTTGAGCAAATAACTAAGTATGTTTGGCATGGGTTTCGGTTCCACCTGTCAAATGTAAGATAGTGCGTGATGACTAGTCTTCTGTGAGTACTCCCAGTTTAATGATAAAGAGTGAAGCGGTTGAATGTACCGACTACTTCATTTACTTGGAGAGTTGTATCAGCCTGAACGTGGTGATTGCTAGCGAAATCTCAGCTAGGATACAGAAGGTCTGTTTGGCATTTGTCAACTTGCGTCATCTCGCGCCTACTGGCAAGGTATCCGACTGTCTATCAAAGGGAAAATATACTGCACTGCAGTCTGTTTTGTCCTGTTATATGGTTGTGAGACATGACTGTTGAAAGCAGAATATATGAAGCTGTTACAGGATTTTAATCACTGGTGTATTCGTATCATTGCTCACGTTTGGTGGCGTCATCTTGTGTAGAAGTTATACGACAAGTACTATTCGAAAAAGGCAAATCGGTCGATAAGGTTGTGCACCCTCAGAGACTGGAGTGTCTTGGATATATGTTATGCTTGCCGACACCTCGTACCTCGATGTACACTGCTACCAGAAGTGGGATTACGTTAGACGACTGCTCAGGGTGACTAGGTCATGTAGTCTCATCAGTCGATGAAGTCTGAGTTGTGTATCCAGGTGTAGACTGCCAGTTTCAGGTCCTCGAAACTATTGGAATCATTGGTCCAAGACTTTTGATGACATGGCTGAAAGTGTGGAGCTTTGGCTCACCGGTTTAGCGAGATGACTTTCAGCAGTGAGTCACAGGTTCGAGCCCAGCCCCGCCTTCCCAGGTTTGGGCAGGCAGGTATCATCCTCAGCCCTCGCGCAAAAAATGTGGCTCATTGTCTACTGCACGAATGTGTACAAGGTTTCTGAGCTATCTTCATACGTCGATGGCTGAAAATCAGTCATAATGGTGCATCTGCATTCACTCTTTGACATCTTTCAAAGCATGAATGTTTTGACTAACTTTCATTTTCAAATCTCCTCCCCTCCCTTACGTCTTTGTCTACTTTGATTTCAGTCTTTGTCTATCCACTTGCGTATATGCTACTGTAAAGTGTGGTAATTTAAATTGATACACTTGTATGCAAGTTTCTTCTAAATAGTGTCAAGTCATTTTGTGTGATGCATTGCTTGGTGCCCTTGTAGTACCATGTTTGTGTTCTAATAATAAGGTTCTACTTTGATTTTGTCCGTCTGCAGTCTTGCACAAACGTCTCAGCTCAGTTTTCTGCATTCTACGACAGCGCAAAACTCAGGGAGCGTGCATAAACGATTATTGCATAACAGTAGGGAGAACAGAAAAGTAAAGATTAATCCCACTTGCCAAATTTCTAAGACGATAGACAGTCAGTACATCTCTGCCATTTTGATCTGTTTTAAACCATTTCGCCGAAAGTCTTGAGCACTTCAACTAAAAAAACGTATGCCTCCTTATACTGTTTAGACGGTCAGAGACTTAGTGGACTATTGTCATATGCTGATCTTTCTATCCTTAGTTTTCTTCTAAATTAAATCTCCAACTGGTACTGTACATCATTGTATGTATTTTCTTTATTACTTTTCGTCTGCACAATTAACTATCCTATAAATGTGTCTACCATCAACCTTCAGTTCAGTCCCAAAATTAGAGTACATTACAGTTAATCACTTCTCAACGATATTATACTTCATTAAAAAACTGGACTTATAAACATTTTGACGTTCTACTCATTATATTATTTGTCGTTCTCTACAATTTTAGATATCTGTTCTGGAGGATCTAAGTCGTCAGTTGTTTCTTGAATTACACGATCTTCGCACTGCTCAAGAACGTGTAGAGTTTTCAAAAACATGGAAAGGACGATACTTTAATTGTCTTGGCTACTTTTTCTGTGGGTATTGTTGTTGGAAAATATTCATATCTATTGTAAATATTTTACTAAATCGATTCGGTGGACAAGATCCTATTACGCGTTTCATGGGAATAGCTGTACATTATTTAGGCTTTCAGATTGATGTGAAATTTTGGTCGCAGCAAATATCATTTTGGCTTGTTGGCATAATTGTTGTCACTTCAATTCGAGGTCTTTTAATAACACTGACAAAATTCTTTCATGCTATTGCAAGCACTAAATCATCAATATAATTGTTTTAATTATAGCTCAAGTAATGGGTACTTATTTTATTTCATCTGTATTGCTTTTACGTATGAATATGACTGCAGAATACAGAAATATGCTTAATCAAGTACTTGGTGACTTGCAATTCCATTTCTATCATCGTTGGTTTGAAGTTATCTTTCTGATTAGTGCGATGTGTAGCATTGCATTTTTGTATTTAGCTCATAAACGGGTTGCTGAAATAAAAGATGACTGCATTTCTTAACTTAATTTGATTCAAGTTTTCATAATCAATGAAAGCGTGTGATTTTCATGCCTTCTCGAGTTTCTAGTTCATAAAGCAAAGTTATCGCGATACGTAGTTTCAAACATTTCATCACGTTGTAGAATTTAGGGGAATCAGCAAAAATGTATAATTTCACTTTATCAAGAAGATCTTTCTAGACAGTTATAAGGTTATGTTTAGATGTGCAAATTACTAAGTAGTAGTGTGCGTCAGTAGCGATGGAATGATTTAAAACATGAAACTGGTTTATTGTATAATAAAAAAGTGAGAAGAGCGAAACTAAATTCTTTTAGTCAATTGTAACAAAAACTTCATTTGTAGTTCTGTAGTTGATTTCGTTTCAATGTCATGCCTATATGAAAGATTCAGTAGGCAAAAAGTAGATTCACTTCATCTTTATGTGTTTGTTGTTTTGCAAAAGTCAATGTTCATTTTAATGCAGCTTTTGATTCTTCGTTCTATTTTGTTTATTCATTGTTAACATGATTGTCATTTACAGTTAGTGAAACATGACAACGTTACTCTTCCTAAAAACTTGGTATCATTCCTAGTCTGGTGTAAAAAATGCGTGGGGTCTGTGACTGCCCTTCAGAAGAAGGTTTGGAAGGTCAGAGGGATCTTAGTAGCACCGTCTGAACTAGTGGATGCAAGTGAACGGATTCCTTTAAAATTTTAGGACAAGAAAGAAAGAAAGAAACCTATGTGTTAACTAATAAAGTTCACACACTGATAGGTAACAAACTGTTCTTCAGATTTACCAGGGCAACGGTTTGATTAGGTCAAGAGTTAGTTGAAGTAAAAGCAAGAAAGACTGACCAGCGATCTCTGCAACTAGTTTCTAGTTATCCTACGGTTCTTATGATCCATTCGTGGCCTCAGTGTGAAATTGGTCCTCAGTTTTTTCTCAAAGTGGAGGAAGGTGTAAGTAACCTGAGAAGTAAGATAGTGGGACCCAAGGGACTGCTACCAAAGGTATTTAAGGCCAGAGAACCATAGTTATTAGTTAAACTGAGATGTGGGATTCAGACAATCCCTCTTGGCTGTTCTCAAGAGATAATTACTCTAGAAAGTAAATAAGTCCTCTTGTCATAACCACTAAGAAAATGACCATACTGACATTTCTTAGGATTCATAAATACTGGAGGCCTAAGTAAAGCTTGAAGAAAGTAGTTTTCATGTCTTATTGCACATGTATACCTCAGAGACCCACTCTTCTTTGCATTTTAGAACACAAGCATACTTATTGGTACCTAGCATTGGCCATACTGCTTGATACAAAGGTAGAATTGCTTCGCTAAAGACGATATCTAGGATGTTCATTACTGAGCGATTTTTACTCAAACACTCGTGTCAAAGTAAATGGTCAGTTATCTTGTAAGGTAGCTCTCGTGATTATAATTTCTTCCTCTGAATTCATTGTTGTTCCCGATAACATCTTGGGAGGCTTAGACAACGCAACTAACATTATCTTTATCGATGAATCCGCTGACAAAACGTAGATTTTTATGCGATTTTGGGTGAGAGCATATGAAGTGAGTTTCTCATAATCTCCAAAAATAAAAACTTCTGCTGCAGTACTAGTCTGCATTTAATCACATTTTTATCGTAAGCAACGAAGTCTTTTCTTCCAATAACTGCATAAATCACACACGCTTGACCGCTGTATTGTTCAGCTTGCTGGAATAAGCTGAAAAACTCAGGGTGGTCAAACAAAGCATAGCACCAGTTTCTGACTAATAACATATTGGTCTAAATGCGTACCTGCGTTTTTAGGCATTAGTAGATCAGTTGACTCATGTTAAGGTGAATGACTGCCCACATAGTTTAGCTTTATTAGACAATGTATCTTACGCAATGTGCTGGTTTCACAGTAGGAATGGGGTCTGAAATCAGATTTCATGGTCATAACTTACCTATTGTGAAAGCTAAGTCACATGGCACTTATGCTATACAACTACTTTTTTCCTGGAAAATGCTATTGTAAACAAAACTTGGATTAATAAGTCAATTGGCAGAACTCAGTAAGTTACTCATTATGAGTGACTAGAAAGGAAGCTCTTTGTAACATTCAAATTAAGACCAAGTAATTCAACAGAGAAAATTTTATTTCTGATGAACGATTTCCATCAGCTGTACAGCTATATAAACAAATAAATCTATTATTGTCTAATAGATCTTCAAAACAGAATGTTCTGAGATAAAATAGTAAGTTGTTTCTAGAGTTAGCTAGAGCGAGATTGCGTAATCATAGGGTGTATAGGAAAACTCTAGGGGATGACTAATAGGTTGAAGAAAAATGATAGTCGGCGTAAAATATTATGAGGATTTCAGTGGGAAATTGGAAGTAACACGTATAGACGTTGGAAATTAAACCAATGAAAGTGAAAGTAATGACAGTACTAAGTCAAAAGTAAGATGATTGTTAAAGTATTAAGGAAAATCGTATCAAGATATTGACCACAGGAAAATAAGGAAATGGATGTACCTTTTCTGTACGCAGAGCTTAGTCTCTAACTGTTAAATTGCGGACACCTGTGCTATGCGTAAGTGACAAGTCAGTCCTTTTGAATCGTTTCGTTTGGATTTGTACAGGATTTTGAAAGGAGACTGGCAAAGCGACATAACCGAGTCGTCCAGAACTCAGCTGTTGCCTGATATTCATTCTTCTCTGGACAGCCAAACAGGATAGTACTTGGAGATGCCTTTGGAAAGATTGTGCCTTTTGCTGTCTACAGGAGTAGGTAAACTGATAGACACACATGGATGTAACGGTTTCTCCTTTTTGCATCATTGAATCAAGATCATTCGTAGTTCGGTAGCACAGAATCGCTTGTGATTGTTTTAGAAGGGAGATACTTCAGTAGTTCTACAACATATTCACCTTTAGGTTCAATATTCATCAGTAAGATCATGGGAACAGTAAGAACTCGTTTTCACCTCATGTTTCTTCCATTGAATCTTCGATCCAATAAAACAACGGAGAATTAAAACTCAACAAATGATAATAAATCATCGTCAATTTATATTGCATGGACATGTGAAAAGCTATGTATTTTAGAGTAAAGCTTTCCCAGTCACCGTTTGCCTCGCCGCACAATATTAGCTGAGGTCGCTTCAGGGAAGAAAAAGGTTAGGCGAAACCAGATTAAGACATGGCATTAGTACATGAAATCTTTGAATACCAGTCTTAGCCGTGCAGGAGAATGTAAGCTATCAGGTTGGGGTTGGCGTGACAACATAAACCAGTGGTTAAAGACTCTAGGTGACAAGTCCCAGAATCGATCTCAATAGCGCAGACGTATCCACACATTATCCTCAGTTTAATAATCAAACTGCATTTCACTGTTTTCTTACTCCTCTTTGCATTTTGTTAGAACTTCAACAGTTTGCTTCTCTATTTTTTTATCTTTCATCTCAGTGCTTTCTCGCTTTATGTGCTGATATGACGTATAGGAACTTGGACTATTACTTAGAAATACCAGTTCCTATATTGGTTTTGTCTGTCTCAAGCTTATGGCGCCAATATTTTTCGTTTATAGCGGACATTTTTCCTATCAGAGAGGATTTATTTTAGTGATCTCATTCATCTACAGTGTGCATTACTGACCTTGACAGTCTAACAACAATTAACTGGTATGTAATTATACATAAGGAAACGGAATCTAGTTTTCTCAAAGACTCTGACTGAGAATTTTCAGTTATGAGAATATTAGAGACCTTGCAACGGATATGTCAACTGGTGAATCAACAGACAAGGAAATAAGACTTAGATGAAATATTATTTCAATCATGAATCCTCGTTAATATGTACATAAGCGTATCTGCCAGCATTATCTGAACTCCTTAACTAAAGTGGGGTAAACCAAGTAGGAGGGGAAGAAAAATAATCAACGATGGCATTGGATGAAGGTATTGCTATATCGCAAATTAATAGAAGCAGGAGGACGTGGACCATTGAACCCCGACTCAATGGTGACGTGCTTGCCACAGAGCCTGAAGGCTTTGGGTATGACTCTAGGTGGGGTCATGTGTACACTGCTAAGGTGTCCCGCATTAGGAAGAAGTAGTTGACATATGCTGTGACTCCCTAAATGATGTCACTTCGTGATGAGTACCACTTGATTTCAGTAAATCTCCATAAACCTCCAAGTCTAAATGATGTCATCAATAATGCAAAAAACTAAGATAATCATTATTCTAGTTTAGACTGAAGCAGATACAGTGATAAGAATACTCTTAAACAATGAAACCAAATCTTATACGCACTCATCACCGCATATACTTTTCTTCATTCACATGTTGTTAATAAACAGATAACTATTGAAATTCAGGTTCATGTAATCACTAAATGTTTCTTAGGATGAACTACTGTATGTACGTGTTCACCGAAAAATTATCGTCATTTCAAAAATGGAAAGCTAAAAATTGTACTCTTCTAGATAATGATGCACTGATTTTGTAGGAGGTTATTTTTCAAATTAATGATCATAAAATATTGATTTTTCTAGTGAAATGAGCATATTTAGTCTGTACAGATAGGTTCGGTGCAAACAGTTCTTATCATTAGGTATTATAGCCTGATTCATCGACGCTTTTGAGTCAGCTGACCACATTAAGCTTAAAAGTTAAGTGGAGATATCTTCATCTCCTTGCAACATATTAGACTTCAGACTTCCTCAACGAGATCAGAACGACAAATATAGAACGAATGGTTGTAGGCATGAAATTAGTTTCGGTGACGCCTATGCATTTCTTCATCTTTCAAATCACTGGTTATTTTTTTACATTTTTGCCTGTAGATATTTTTCACACCACCGAAATTATTTCTTTTCTCAGTTAATTTCAGAGGTTTGCCGTCAATAAACTCAAATGAGGAAGAGAGCTTTTTAGCAGTTTGTGGTTTTGCCAACTACTAGGATATTTTGGGATAAAGTATTTGGATTCGTCGTAAGCAGTTAAGTTAAGTACAGCTTGCATCTTTTTCGATTGCCATCAAACCCTCGTTAAAGCAATCCGCTTACAACTCAATAACAAAACGTCAAGTCGACCACCGCAT